ATTCCCAGAATTCCACAGCCAGCAATGCTGGCTGTGGAATTCTGGGAGTTGAAATCCACATGCCTTAAAATTGTCAAGGTTGAGAAACACTGCTTTAAGGAATAAATATTTTTTCTTTCTTTACAGCTGTCTGAATCTCATTTTTATTTATTCTTGCACAACCCTGGCTCAAGATGGAATCCCTAATTATTCTTTTGACAATTAGAAATAAAATTTAGCCAGCCAGCATAATGTTCCTGTCACCTTCTTCCTTAGTGAAACAAAGGGCCCTGTTCTTTGCTCTTGTTTTCTGCCTTCATCCTGCACATTTGATCAGAACTGAAATGTCTCCAGTACTGGCTACCTAAAAATATGATTGAAAACTGGATTTCAAAGGTTTAGAAATTCAGTTTCAAAAATACACATTGGAATGCAGCAGCTGCCACGTAGCATGAACACATGGAGGTTGAAGCAAATATAAAATCTGTTACAGGTGGAAACAGTGTTGTGGTATTCCAACTGAAATACTGTAGCCTGCCCCCTTAGTTGAATCCAAATATGTGTATTTTTACTCTCAATGAGCTACTTCTTGCTTTCAAGAGAGAATACGTTTGCAGGACTGTGAAATGACAGTTGATAGAAAATAAGGAAGATGCAGATTTTAGATACATTGATAGTATGGAATACAATAGGGGGGTTGAAAGTGCTTTAGTAACCAGAATCAGACATAGTTTGTTACTTTTCAGTGTATGTACATTCAGGTACAGTTCTGAAATTACTACTGTGTCATGTTTGAAATCAGTTGTTGACAGTAATTTCTTAAATGAACATGGCAATATTTAAAACTTTCCATATTGCCTTGGTTAAGATGTGCCAATCACAATTAATCATAGAAGATTAGCTATTCTAAAACAAATAAACCCCCATACTTCTTCTGCAGAATGGAAAGCAGCTGAAGAATGAACTTAGCTTTGTAGCCAGTCAATCTGTCACTGGGAATTACCATATTTCCCCTCATCCTAATTCTGAATTCACTGAAAGTAGTAAACAATTGGGCTTCTGCTCATGCAGATTTTGCTAGATTCAAATTGAATATGAAATGCAGGCTGACATTATAAATAAATCTCCTGAGCTGCTATACTTGAATTCAAGGCCCTTGTGCCTTAATTATTCAAGCATTCTGTACATTCATATACTTCAATATGAACACCATTAAATTATTGTGCTTTTCTTTCCAGCCAAATGAAAGCTTGTCCTCCTTTCAGCTGTTTGAAGGAGATACATCTCCCTTAATTCTGCTTGGCTCAAAAGGAATGTGATAGAATATATATTAAAAATGAAACACAATTTTCTTTTGTAAATATGAGTTTATGTTCAGCAATTATGGAAAATATTAGAACCATTACCCTTAGAGAAACTACAGAAGATGTCTTTCAAAACAATGACATTTCTAATTTTGCATATTTAAAAGGCCTGTGCAGATTGTGATTCAGCTTTGTGTGTGTGTTTTAACAGAGAAGGCAAATTGTCAAGAGAGAGCCTTGTTCAGACCTTTTACTTCAATGGAAGTAACTTTTGTGCACACACAGGAACAATTCCTTTCCACTGGATCAAAGTAGGTGGCTGCAGCACTTAATAGAGACTCTTCATTGAAATGAATCCTCACTTGAAAGATATATATAGCTATAATACCTAATACATAATTCTTTCTTTGAGCATTGCCATTGCCTGCTTATTATTCTGCCATATTCCTTCTGTTGCTCAGTTGAACAAACGTGCAGAATAGGAGCAGAAGGTGACTAATGTGAGTGAATAAACAATACCAGGTGATTTGTGTGATTGGAATGGTCTATGCCTGTTCACTCAGTCGGTATAAGGGCTATTTATGACGCACTAGAAAAGGCAACTTATTCAGAAGAAATGGCTATCCCAAGCAAGTGATAAATGAGAATCTCTGTTACACAGAAACCAGCTCAGGAGATTTTGACCGGTCTATAGATGGATCCCTTCTCTGTTGTTTATTGACTACCTATTTAAAGAGATGGTTTTCCAAAGAGCAAATGTTGGTATTCTAGTTTTATTTCCAGAAGAGAACTGAGTATACTGGATATTATGTTCTAATTTTCTTATAATTTGGGGATAATTACTGCAGTATTAGGAGAGTGGAAAGCAGAGTCATTATCTGTAATTTTATTTTTAATGATTAATGATAAGTTAGCATCTTTCTGTTGACTTGTAATGCTTGACATTTTACCTGAATTAATGCCTCTCTATCGGTGATGAAACTGAAACAAACAATGACATTGCTTGATTAGAAAGCATAAGGCATCTTTGGCAGGGAAATACTTGCATTGACTAAAAAAAGGAAAAGTTGAATTTCTTATTCTATTTTTTTTACTAATTTTCAGAGCTCAATCTTGCATGTTGTTCACGCCTGATTTGTGACAAATCAGGAAGGAAGGAAGGAAATTTGTTATTAAATGCAAGCCAAAATTTTTAAAAAAAGGGAATAGTGGGCATAAATCTGAAAGCTGGAGAGAACAGGGGAAACAAGGTCAGGAGAAGACTTAGTAGGTTTAAGCGAAGTAAAGTAGAAGCAAGACAAGTCAGCAGAGGGCAGATGCATGTCAAGTAAGGCAGCTGCGGGACATACAAGCTTTACTGAGACTGAGGCCAAAGAGGTTGGTTTCTAACTGTGTCTCAGCAAAGAGTCCCCTTCATGTTATGAATAATGTGTTAACAGAGCCCGCAAATGTATAGAAGCTGAAGAGAAAATCTGCTTTCATTCACTCAATTGTAAAAAATTATGGCCTGAAAAAAATATCTTTATTTTAAAGACATGGATTGGATGGGAAATTTTGCCATGAATTTAAGATCACGGGAAAGTTGTCAGTATGTACTTTTAATTACTTTTTACCAATCCATTGGAGAATAAGGTCTCAGGTAACTTTCATTCTTCTTCTGTATGTTCAAATTAACAAGGTCATAGAGCCTGATGAAATAACTATATTAAACTTCTGGTTACGGAAGGGAAAAAGAGGAAGGACATTTGATGGCTATATTGGTACCACATGTTAAAAATTAGGAACAAAAATATTAAGATATTATAGTATATATTTCACATTCATTTCAAGGGTTCATAATTGAGGGAATAACGGAGAACAAAAGTACATATAGGGGAAGGGGTGACCTACCTACAGAACTACCATTCTATATAACTTAGATTTTGCTCTTATTCTCCAACAATTCATTGTTTCCACACCATGCCTACTTGTCTATTCTAATGAATGCAAGTATATGATATCTGAGTTACAAAAATCAGAAAAAGCAAATTCATTCATTCATGCACTCACTCACTCATTCACTCACTCATTCTTTATTTGCTTACTTATTAAAGCTTCTATGCTGATCAGTTCCCATAAGCACTACTGAATGCCAAATTGCTGGATTAAAACATCCAAAATATACATACCAATCAATGAATGCTTAATGATTGCACCATATCTAGGTTTAGCTTAGACTTTCACATCCCTAAACACATTCCTGAAGAGCCAGGTCTTTATGGCCTTTTGGAAGCCCAATAATATGGATGTAAATTGATTATTGGGTAAGTTTTTCTATAGAATTGAGAACTTCAATGAGAAAGCCTGTCCCCAGGTTCCACTCTCAGAAGCCCACTCTTTTGTTTCACTGGCTGTGAAGATTTAGTCCAGAGAAGGTGATCAAATATCTGGGTGTCAAGTCATGAAGAGCTTTAAAGGTGATAACCAGTATCTGGAATTGCACTCAAAAGCTAACACGCTAAGCAGCTAATGCAGCTCTTAAAGTAGTAGTGGTACATGGACAAATTTTGATCTGATCATAACAACTTCGGCAGCTGATGTTACATCACTTGAAATTTCTAAGTGGTCTTCAACAGCAACCCAATGGACAGTGAATTGCAGTAGTCTAAGCATGAGATGATGAGGACACGGGTGAGCATGCACAAAGTTCCTGATCCAGAAAGTTTTGCAACTGGAACACAGGATGTAATTGTGCAGAGGCCACATCCTTCAGCTGTTGTACTAGCTGGAAGCTGCAAGTTCAGAATATCCAAATTGTGAGCTAACTTCATATGGGAGAATTAATGTTTCCTATGTCTCTTTGCTGCAATGTAGTGTTTCTGGGATTTTGCAGCTCAAATACAGTTTCAATATAGATCCATTCTCTAACAGTTTCTGCAGGTAACTGCTGCTATACATATTTCTTTCCTTAGAATTTTGCCTTGTTCTATATATCTAGCTAGGTATTATTTTTATTACACCATGACCTTATTTTTCCTATTTCCTGTTTGTTCTGGGTATTTAAGGGTCTTGTTCTGATATCCTTTCCAGCTGTTGGCTTTTTTGAAGACCAAAGAGCTGCTGCTTGCTCCTGTTCTACTCTTAAGACTGCTAGGGAAAAGAAAATGTTCAATTCCTGCCAAGAGAGATGGAAAGTTGATGGAGTCCTATCTAGTACTAGTGATTACTGTGGACTAAGATCTCAATTTTTTTTCAGTCCACAGAGAGTTTTACTACCCAGTTTCTGTCTTTAAGGATGTCAGATCTGCAGCAACTTGTCTCTGATATCTAGCTGTTTTCATTCTTTATTATCTTCTAGTCTTTTTTCTTTCTATAGCAGTTTCCTGCTTATTGATCACTATTTTGCTTTATGTTTCCTATACTTTTTTCTTATTGTGGTCTATTTTCTTTCTTGTTTACTATTATGGGAAGACCAATAGCTCTTCCAGCTCATCTATCCTCGCTTCCAGGAAGGATTTAAGGATTAATTGCAAGCATTTCTCACACAATTTGCTCCCTTGTTTCTCCTTTTCCTTTTCCCAGACATGTCCTTGTGAACTATGTCTCTTGTCAGAATGGCAGTTTCTAGCAGTCTTCATAGTGTATTTTTAGACTATTAATACACTATATACTTACATTAATTCAGAGGATATATTTTACCTAGTGCATCATGAGATTCATATACAGTAGGTTTCTTACCTTGCTGCACGAAGGATCCATACACAAACCACATGGAGTTGTAGAGTGTTGTTGAGGTCATTGATCCCATCTGAAGTCGTGGAGGATTAAGCCAGTTGAGAAGATATACCAAGAGTCCTACCAGCAGGACTGTGCCAGCTATACAAGCCCAGAGGGAGAGGTCAAATGGTGCCAAACAAGCAAACATATCCATGGTCTTTTCAGCCTTTTGTAGCAAGACTCCCACTGAGTAGTCCATGTAGCGAGTTGTAAAATCAACCACATTTTCCCGATCTGGTGTAATAGTTAATGCAGAAATGCCTATATCAGCTCTCTAAAGGAAAAGAGACAGAAAATTCATTTCCCTTAGCAAGAGAAAAATAGCATCACTTCTGTCTGATTTACGGCCTCTGAAACATCTCTTGGAAAAACTGTTGCCAAGTTTTGCTTATCTGGCAGTTTGTGTGTAACAACCCAGGGAGCAAATAGGAAGAAAATAGACACAAAGTTGACTATGAACAACAAGATGAATGCATGGAGGTAATGTTTAAAGAATTATTACTGATTCAGAAGAAGAACATATTTTAAATAAAGATACTGTAGCTTCTAGAAGAATTTGTATTTTTAATTTTTGATATTTTTTATGGACACCAAAGTACTTAACTGAAAAAAAAATGAAAAGGTCCTTTCATTAGTCTATTGATTATGAGTTTTGTCCAGAAAAGTTTTTTAATGGACTTCTCTTATTAGTTTTATATTACATTTGCATAATACCAATGTCTCTGTTGATATGACCTTTAGATATAGTGCAAAAATGTAGAAAACACTACAATTTGATAAATAAAATGAAAACTCCATCTTAGACTGTAAAATAACTTTCGTTCATTGCTGATGCTATTGTTGTTTTTATTTCTTATTTTATTAGCAATTGCCAGTTACAAAAGATGTAAACACCTAAATAGGTTAGCAGTGCTTTGGATTCAGTAACAAGAGATTCTTGAAGGGCATTCATACTGATCTGCTGCAATTTCTGATACTAAATGCCTCTTTCCCCAGCATTGCACAGCAGCAAGTAGCTGTACAATCTTGAAAAAAGATGCAGAAGGGTTTTTTTTGCTTTTGAATCCAAAGCATTGCATAGTCCTAATTAGTTCCCAAAGAAATGATCTTTGTGAATGCTTACTTGCATACCTATAGGTCAGGCATGTCAAATTTGCAACGTAACGTGATGTTGCACGATGTATAGCAACTTTTCCCCCATTGCTGGCAATGGGGTGGGCGCGGTTTTGGCGTGACGCATCCGGCCCACAGGCTGGCAGTTTGACATGCCTGCTATAGGAGAACTCCTCTGAAGCCACTTGCTAGCTAGAGGACCATGGCTGTTTTAATGCTTCAAGGAGAAATTATTTCCTTATGCAACTAGGCCTATTTCCTTTAGTGTGCTTTGCACAAGTCAGGGTCACACACAGTTACTAACAGCTATTTCAAGGTAGCTAATTTCTCTTGTGAGCGAAATTAAAGCCATGGGGTAGGACTTGGGGAAGAAAATACATCTTTTTCCAGAAGACTTTGCATTGCTACTGCATGTTTCTTTGCATTCAAGGCTGGATGATGATGCATTCTTATGAAGGGGAAACAAGATCAATATTGGTCCCAGAATTCTTGGAAAGCATCTGTATGTATAAAATGGACAAAGGGAAGAGGAAGAATGACACCCAGTTATACAATCATAAAAAAATAGCACTTTCCTTTACGTGTGGCAGACTATACAGAAAAATAAAAGTTCAGGTTTTGAGGTACATAAGGCTGGAGGAAACAGAAAAGTTCTTGCTTAAGGCCTTATCACTTGGATAGTGAAGTCTGCCTGGATCTATTCAGCCCTTGGGCCGAAAGTCCCCTTATAATAAATTTGAGTTGTTGCATTAGATAATGTGAAAGGCCTAAACAGCAAACAGAGTGTGGTGAAAGAGATCATGTTTGAAATATAGAAGATTATAGCTTTAGTTCAAACTGCTGAATGTCACTGTATACAAATCTAGACAGTCTGAATGGAGTTATCAACGGCTAGGAGGGTCATATTTCTTTATTTATGATTCAATAGGTGCCTTAGTCATTTTGTCTTTGATAGGTAGTGCAAATCACATGGGACTTTTATGGCGAAATCCAACACTTGAAATTTGTTCAAAGCAGTGGCAACTGTGGCCAGGAAAGTCTTTCCATCTAATGTGTACTTGTGCACATTCTGAGAGCAGGAACCCTTGAGACAAGCTTCTTGGCTAAGTGCTCAAGAATGGACAACTGTAATATGTGTTATATAAAGCTACCATGGAATGATATTTTTCATTCCTTTGTTAAATTGTTCTTTTAGTACGTAAGGAAAATTGAGACAGTTGCAGAATTTTAACCAGATTAGTTGCTTAGACCCAACAATTATTTTTCCATGCACGTGTAGATTTACATACTTTATACACTAATATAGCACAATATTGATATGATAAAATAGATTTAGGAATATTACAAATTATGATATGCAAGCTAGTACAGAAACTCCAGTACTAAATGTCTGGAGTTTCTGTACTAGTCTCAACCCTAACATGAACTGTTTAAGTTCTAATTGGATTCGTGATTCAGAATATATTATGTAAATACAGTGGAAGACTGTGCTTAAATACCTAATTGCATCCTTGATCCATTATAGAAGACTAGTCATCATACTTTTGATCTTCCAAAAGACATCTGCATATAAGTATTTTGAAAACACATACACACCACATAAAAAAATCATCAAACAAAAGCAGGGAGATAGCGTTGATTTGAGATTACAAGAGATTCTGATCCAATTAATTATAATTCTGTCTTTTAAAATGGCAACAGTGATAATTGCTATTCAGTGTTAAATTCAGAATTTTAATTCAATTGCCTTATTCTGGAATATGTCCTTGCAATCTGAAAATACAAAAAAATTATAAAAGATAACAATATTTTTTTCTAGTTTCAGAACTTGTTTGTCGGAAAACATATTGATTTATGGTTTTGGAAATCATATTCTGTGCTTTAGTCAAAATTGGATTGAAAACCTTTTAGTTCTTTCCATTATAGAATAATAACAGATGAAATATAGATCAGAAAAAAATCAATTTACAATTGTTTTCTATTTTAATGTTATTCTTTTGCTAGAATCTTACTCGTGCATAGAAATCAAATTTAATTTTTATTTAACTGATACTTTCATGTTATGGTAAAAGTTAAACAAACGAACGAAAAACAAATATTGTACAGAGAAAACCAAAATGAGTAAAGCAGTTAAGATGGAAGGTACAGTAAGAGGTTGCCTTTATTTTTATATTCAGTAGAAAATTTAAAAAAAGTATTCTTGCTTATGATAGCATAATTGGATTTCTTTTTAGTCATAATGTTAATAGGATCATAAATCATATTCACCCATTGCACCAAACCATGGTTTGTTTGATTCTACTTTTGAATAAATAGCAATAGACGGTCATTTTCTCTAGACTAAAACCATAGGGACAGAATTCATACATCACTAAGCCAAGATCAAGTAAGGCATACTGCAGCATAGTATGCTGTAGGAATTGGATCCTAAAACAATATTTTAGACAAACTCTCTTCTGAATCTCGGAATTTCTAACCACATCTATAAATCTCTAACATCCGTCAATCCAGTTTCTGCACGTTCATAACAATTAAAAACTATTCCATGCTTTGAACATTTTTTATCATGAGGAAGCTTTGCCTAATGACTAGCAGAAACTGGTTGCCTGTCAATGATATTGGTCCAATCTGTGCTTGATGGTTAAATCCATATTTTTATCAACAGGAACAGCAAAATGTTTAACTTTGCTTGAATAATGTCTAGTAGATTTTGTTGATACAACTCAATAGATTTTGTCTACTTAAATTTTTTTACCATCACGGTGCAAAAGAAAGAAATACTTCCTCCCTTTAATGAAACAATTCATTTCCAAAATGTCTTTTAAAAGGCAAGAGAACTTTGGTGAAATTTTTGGAATAGAGTATGATGTACTTTCAAGGAACTTGGATTTCATTATTATTCTATTTTTAGTATCGATTTCCTTCCCATATATATCAGTTAATCTGAAGTTCCACTGGGTTCAGCTTGGGAAATGTGGGCAACAAGGGAAGCTACCGTTCCTGTTCCTGTTGGAGGCAACTTTTAAGGTGCTTCCAGGTTGAAAGGATTAGCTGGTAACTTCCCTGCTGCTTGGAGGATATCTGTGGGGGCTACTTTCATGTCAAGGAACCGGAGTGAGTGATGGGAGCTCACCCTGCCCCACAGCAGCAGCTGGGTCTTGAACATACGCTTACTAACTGCCAACCTAGTGTCCTAATCACATGAGCCACCATGCTCGCCAAGGGAACCTTAAAAGTGACAGAAAGACATGTAACAAAACCAAAAGAATTGTGCCCCCAATAACAACTAAGCTTAGAAACACCAAGAAAAAAATGAAATAAATTCTTAAGCAAGAATAAGTTTGAAAAATGGACACTTATTTCACAAAAATAGGAAACTTCCAGGCACATTTCTGTATGGCATTAACTTTCAACCCAAGACAGACACTTGAAGTCATTTGAAGAAACTTGAAGGCATCTGTTAGCAAGGAAACACAGCTGGGTGCATTGGAGGATGAACAGAGAGAGGTAGCTGTTGCTCCCAGTACTGCCATTGTCTCTGTAGCTAACTGGTAAACAGGTTCTATTGCCCTGCAATTAGCTGTATCATAACTCTAAGAGAGAAGAACAATAATTTCCTAAAACTTTATGATGGAACAAATGTGTAAAGCAAAAATATAGCCATTGTTAGAATCAATGTCTCCTCATAATTCATGTCAATCCAAAAAAGTGCTATTGTCCATGATAGCAAATGCAAGCAGGAAGTTAAAAATAATCGAGAAGAGCATTTCATCCATTTTCTTCCTAATGACAGGTAATCACTTAGCCAGGTCTGTGTTTGAAGCAATTTAATTTAAGTCAAGCTAAATTGGTCAATTTGAAAATAGCTGAAGGAATGGAAAAAGCAAACAAAAGAAACAGAGGGGGGAAAAAAAGTCCACCTAAAGAAGAGCAAGGAATTACCTCTAACTAAGCAACTGATTACAGTTGAACAGGAAGACAAAAGTTTTATTTAAGACAATTATATAAAACCAAGGTAAAAATTTATGTGAAGACAGATGTGATAAAAGGCAAGGTAAATATCTCCAGTGAGATCAAACAAAGTGAATGCACTCTGGATCCCATTGATAAACAGTGTTACCTAATGGTTTTCAAGAAATATACTTTGTTGTGGCACCTATT